TGCTATTATTCTTTCTCTATTTCCAGTCTCCCCTTTCTCTCATTCTCTTCTCTCTCCTTTTCTTCTTTCTTTCTCTACTTCCAGCCTTTCCTTTCTCTCATTTTCTTCTTTTAGTCTTTCTTCCTTTCTTCTCTGCTTACACTCTTCTCTCTCTAGTTCTTGTTGTTTAACAAATTCTTGTAGTTCACTGTCTTTTAACCCAAGATGCTTACTTCTTTCTATCCATTTATCAAAATCTGTTGACATGGTTATATAGCATGACTGTAATCTCTACACCATTTTTGCCACCACTACAGTTGTGTGTATATTGGCCTACTTATTTCCGCTGTTGTTCATGTCTTCTTCTACCATCATTTACCACTGTATAATCTTGGCTGGCTTGCCAAATGTCAGGGTTTTATGCACATGAGGGCTGGGAGTCTTCTACAGCAGATGTCTGTGACTTGTTGGTGATACATTCAAACAAGAAACAGACAGCACACAATCCACTTGTTTTAAAATATATTCAAAACAAATCAAATGTAAAAATTCTTTACATTATAAGATATCACAGTTGTATCTAAATAATTCTCTTTTCTTGTCAAAAGTCCACTCTGGCTGATTCAATTAATTTAGAATCCAATTGAGAAGACAACTTATTTTTCTCTACTCTTTTCAGTGAACAACATACTTATGTTACTCTGTGGGTTACCACAGTTGTATCCTGAACTTTAAATAATTGTCTCCTTTTCATCAAGGTCTACACAGATGGGTTCAATTACTTTAAAACACCCTTTGACAAGATAAATTATTCTCCTTATCTTTAAACTGTGAAACTCATTTTAAAATATCACCCGTTATAACTAAATAACAACTATGCAATTTATTATTTTTTTCTGATTGAACTTTCTCTCTACTACTTGCACTTGCTTGGTCACCTATATTTATAAGTTGTTCACTGAGGCCTGAAATTTTCTACAAGTTATGTGAACTATGTTATAACATAACAATACTCATTCAAGGTAATGAGAAAAATAGCAAAGATTCAAATAACTTGCCATCAACAATACTACAATAATTGAACCACACACACAATGTACGACTCTTATCAAGTTACTCAACCAAACTTGTCATAACTATCACCTTTTAAATAATTACTTTTAACTCTCTTGTTTTGAAAAATAAATAATCCTTAAATATTAAATCACTAAATAAATAATAATGTTTACACTAAACAGTCTTGTATATCCAACATTCATACTTCTTATAAAATCTGTCTCAATTTTTAACATGGAAAACAACATTCTCCAGGAAAACCTTAGAGAAACAATTCATATCATTTGTTTATTTCTATTAAATAAATTATTCCTACTCAATACACTTTATTTTATCTCTCCATTTACCTATTATAGTTTATTTAAATCTGAGGAGATAAATTTATCATCCCAAAGCTGTATGTACTTACTTTCATCCCAAAGCTGTATGTATTTACTTTGAACAACAACATCAACAAAAAAAAAAGACTTATCAGGTCATGACAAGTTTTAGTAACTTGAAAAAAACTGGGTGAAAATATTATGCATGACTAACACATGAAACTATTTTGTCTTAACAAAACAACATAGTAATACATGCATTTCAATCCTGTATGAAAAATCACAAAACACATGCAAACTTGGTTTTACATCATAAAATGGCTTACAAGAATAGTTTTAGTATGAAAAAGCACGCAACAGTCTAAAGCTAACATGTTGTCAACATGCTCCAGCAGGAAATCATACTTACAGCAGCTTTGCCCTAGGAATTGAAAGAGGAAGCAGGAAAAAAAAGAAGAAAGAATTATATAAGTTACCAACATTTTAATTTCTCTTCAACTAATTATTAAAGCTCCAATTTAAAACTCATCAATAAGTAAAAACAAAAAAGTAGTCCAATATATTTACCATTAATAAACTTGTTTAGTATTTTTAATGAACTGAAATTGTATCTGGAAAACAATCAACAAGTTTTCTACACCTTATGTTGTTTGGATTTGAATGTAAAAGTTGTACCTTTAAATTATTCAATGCACACACGTGTGTGTGTGAATATAAATAAAGTTAGTGGTAGTTATTATTGCTTAAGATAGTAATGTCCAATATCCTTATGCTTTTCAAGGGACAAAGGATCAGTGATGGTGCATGAAGCATCTAGTTTTAGGTGTTTTGTAAGTTATATTAAATTCTGACCTTAATGTTGATTATATTATTAAAAGGTAAATATATTTCTACTATATATATATATATATATATATATATATATATACAC